TAATCACATCTTAATCATGATTAAGAATTTACTTAATCATGATTAAGATGTGATTAACGAAATGATTGTGTAGAATTAATTAATCATTAGACGCCATAAATGCAGAAATGTTGAAAATGATTCCCATTTTCCACAATCATTTCGTTAATCACATCTTAAACATGATTAAGAATTTACTTAATTAAGTTGTCACAGTTAATCACGGTGACATCGTGATTAAGACAACAACTTAATCATTATCGATGATTAATTAATCAATTGCACAATCACTTAATCATGATTAATAGCGATTAAGTGATTAAGTGTCATCTTAATCACCCGAAAAATGATTTTGCAAGTGATTAAGTAATCGCAAAACGCCCACCTGTAATGCTGCTGCAGTGCTTTTCCGCCACATCGGCTGACGTACTTTTTTCACTCGCAATTTTTCTGTATTTCGCTTTCTTTCTCTCTCTCTCTCTCTCTCTCGTTCATCAAACGGAAATACATCCACAGTGCTATACATATTTATAATTTACTCGCTGCTTGATCTTCTTTCGTGATTTACTCTGACTGAAGGTATAATATTTAAAATTTATACGCAGCATGTACCATGATTTCGTTTTTTTTTGTTGGTGTGTCGCTCGTTGTCACTCGATGCCGATTCGAAAGTTGTTCAACTTCAAATGCAAATATGTCGTTTCACAGCCAACTACCATAAATATTTTTTGTCGCTTTTTTTCTCTTGCATTATAGATCGTTGTATGGTCCGCAATCCATAAATAAAACATGAACTGTAATTTCCTGTACTTGAATGAGCTGCAGTTTTCACGAAACTTTTTCATTTCATCATATTTTTGCTCTGTATTAACTCACAATTGCACTATGGTGACGATATTAAAGTCAACTTATTTAAGTTTCTTGATGAAAACTTTTGAAATTTCAATGTGGAATCATTTGAAATGCAACACTGCCCGACCGAAGAACAAAAAATACGGCCAAAACTATTTGTGAATAATAGTGTGCGAAACGTTAAGTATTTAGGACTTTTCTCAGATGAATTCATTAAAATTGAAGGTGACAGTCAAAAGTGCTATGCAAACCATCATTGATTTTATAATTTCTTTGAAGAGTCCCATGCAGCATCGTATTCATTGGATTTTCATCACCACACCACTTTTCGAGTTGCGATGCTTTTTACATAAATTAATGGATATTCTGCGCTTCGTTGGTGGGGATGAAAGTTTTAAATATGATACCGTCGTAAAAACTGCTATCGTGTAGCATACACGATCAAAATAGAATGTTTGTCACCATCAGAATATTGGATATATTATTTCATGTAATAAATATGGGCGAATACAGAGAAACCGCAAAATTTCATTAAATTAAGAGGACCGAGAGTGAATCAGGTGCATCAATGCGAATCCCACAAGCAATATTGATCGTGCGTGCTGATGATTCACAATTCAGTATTGTGTTGTTAAACGATCCATTCGATTAACACAGGATTTGTATGTCAGTGAAACCGCGCGATGTGAGAATGCATGATCCCGACCGACCACATATCATTTGCCACAATATTATTACGTATTAATTATCGGGTGAATGTCTGTATTCATTTCAACAAAGCAACGTTTTATGTTTTTATCGGTTTTATTATAAAAAGGACATCCTCCCATGTGAATTGGGCTCATTTGTTGCACACTCTTCCTTTTTTTTCATTTTGTCAGCGTATGCGTTTCTCGTTTTCGGCTGGCCCATTTTGCTGGTAGCTGTTTTTGTTATGCGTGATTATTAATTGGTTTTTTGGTTGTTGGTTGTGCACATTTCGCCACGTTTTCGCTCTCTGGCCCGACAGCAGAAAAAAAAATTAACTGCTTTCGCTGCTAAATTTAAAATGCCAAAAGCGCAATCCGGACCAATGAAATATAGCATAATATCAAATTTTGTAATAAAAGCAATCGGCTAAAATGCTTTTGAGCACGGGCTAATTCGTGTTGAAAAGAGTTCTTGATTTGAAATGGCGCAAGAAATAAAAAGCAGCTACAAAACGAAAATGGATACAGCAACGGACAGAGAATGCACTCTCGACAGACCGAAAATTATTGCCTTAATATTGGCTTTAATGATTCGTCTTAAATGGCTGGATGAGACCATTAATGATCCATTCAATCAATATACGAAAAATCGAATGAAATACCAGCGAACGTGGTGTAAGCATTCACTGAAATTGATTTAATGTTCGAGGTTTGCCACATTTTCCCAGTTTAATTTTCGTTTACTCCCATTCTCCCATACTCTCTCACACAAACACAAACACAAACTCCCACACTCTCGAATGTATCACTGAATCAAATTTATTTACGTAATAAAAGAAGATTTACAATCAATTTCTTTTATTGTTTTGCAGATAAGAGCCGAATATAACGAAGAACGGTTGCACTATGCTGCTGGTATTGCCATAAACAAAAGCAGTAGATAGACACGGACCGAACACACGGTCGGCATACAACACAAAAAAGGCGACAACGATCTACAATTTAATTCAGGAACGAGAAAAAAAATCAGTCGATACAGCGAAAAATAGCAAATAATCACATTGGAAGAGAGTGCAAAAGCAAAAGCGCAGCTACAACATGAACATTTTACAAATAAGCAAATTTCACTTTACTACGACAATTGCCACGGTTTCGAACACATCACCGTTCCATTAACGTGTATTGATGACGTGGTGAGCGAACGAGGCCAGCCAAACTGATAATGAAAAACAAACAGCTGAGTGAATTGTGTTGAAACACCTTTTAGTTCTCTTCTCTCCGTTTTTATTTTGTTTTTTTTTCGTTTTTTTGTTTTTTGACACGTCAAATATTTGTCGTGGGACGTGGGGGGAGAATATATAAATTATATCGAAATCAATTGATGCACTGTTGTTACGGAAATACATCGGGGAACCGGGCTATCGACGCACTCAACCATTGAGTAGAGTACATGGTGAAGGTAGTGATAAACACACGAATACATACACATACATTCACCGGAGCTGTATAAAAAGAGGGAAAAAGAAGCAGCAGCCAGCATTTCGTTGGACATTTTGTGTGTTTTATTTTCATTTTTATTCCTTTCTTTTCCATTCCGATATTGGAAATCATTGCTTGTGAGCTGTGTAACGGCATGGGGGCGTAAACACTGCCCCTAGCCATTATTTATCTATCTGTATGGAGCATTTAAAATTTGACGAAATAGGATCACAAGCAGCCAACCTTACGATTGCCTCATTGTCGCAGGTAACAAGAGAACTGTCGACACAGTCGTCGTCGTCGTCGTCGTTGTTGCCATCGTTTGGCACAAGTACTGCCACTGTTCCATCAGCTTCGTCCGCCTCCGAGCCTGGAACATCGTTGCCACCATTGCAGGCGGTTGTAATAAGCATCATTTTGCTCGTTGTAATCTTTGTTACGGCCGTCGGTAATATTCTAGTATGTATCGCTGTTTGTATGGTACGAAAGCTCCGCAGACCCTGCAATTATCTCCTGGTATCGCTAGCTGTATCGGATCTATGTGTCGCAATATTGGTGAGTATCAGCCATCGACCGTTATTCGCAAGATGGTGATTGTCGTGAAATATGTTCATTGCGTTCGATCGTTTCATTCTATTTTTTTCTCGCATTGCATCGTGCTATGCCACAACGTTTTAGGCAAATGTACATACTATTTTCACTTGACATTTTTTTTTCTTGGGCCAGGAGAATGTTAATTATCATTTTGTGTTTTACGATTTTTTCTCTCTCTTTTTTCCATTCCATTTATTCGGTTGACTCAGGTGATGCCACCAGCGTTGCTGTACGAAGTGCTGGGCGAATGGAATTTTGGAACGGTGTTCTGCGATTTATGGGTGTCATTCGACCAGTTGGCATGTACGGCGTCCATATTGAATCTGTGCGCGATATCACTCGATCGATACTGGGCAATAACGAAACCGCTCGAGTACGGTGTCAAGCGAACACCAAGACGAATGATGCTATGCGTGGCATTGGTTTGGTTGGGCGCCGCTTGCATCTCACTTCCACCGCTCTTAATTCTCGGCAACGAACATTATAACGAAAACGGCGAACCGATTTGCTTAGTGTGCCAGAATTTTGGCTATCAAATTTATGCAACATTAGGATCATTTTATATTCCGTTAGCAGTCATGCTGTTCGTGTACTATCAAATATTCCGTGCGGCACGGCGAATCGTTTTGGATGAGAAACGTGCACAGACCCGACTCGAAAACACAATGAATGGCGGCACCAAAGAGAAACCAATCGAAACTAGCAGCGGCACAATTATCGGTTCACCACATCAAAAGAAATTACGGTTTCAATTAGCTAAAGAGCGTAAAGCATCAACCACATTAGGAATAATTATGTCCGCGTTTACGATATGTTGGTTGCCGTTTTTTTTGTTAGCTTTAGTTCGTCCATTTCTCGGTGAGGGTAAAGACGAAGATCCGGCTGTGCCGAGTTATCTACATTCACTATTTTTATGGTTAGGTTATGCAAACTCTCTACTAAATCCAGTAATCTATGCGACCTTGAATCGTGACTTCCGTAAACCGTTCCAAGAAATTTTATACTTTCGATGCTCCAGTTTGAATTTAATGATGCGCGAAGATTTCTATCACAGTCAATACGGTGAGCCCACATCACAACGTGTCGTGGTCGGTGGTGAAGGGCACGGTGCACGTGAAAGCTTTCTTTGAAATTTAAAGATGTAGAGGGTTCTTCGTTTCGAGCGCCCCACGATTCGAATGGCAAACCGATAGAGGTGACGGTGATGCATCACACCATACATCCCTAGCTATTCATACCATGTACATTCGTTTCGCACACGGACTCGGCCATTCACTGCTGCTGCAGCAACAGCAGCAGCTGAAACAACAACAACATCAACACTAAAAAGAAAATACACGAAAACCCTCTTCAACTTTCTTTGAGAAAAAAAAAGAAAAACTCAAGCAATCGATTCGAAATCAAATTTTATCTAGTAAAACAGAAGCCATCTACATTTCGATAAACACTCAGAAAAAAAGAAGAAAAAAAAACTTTGCAATCGCATACACTTCGATCATGATTTTGTGTATAGTAATAAAACGTGTTCTATGGTGATAAACATTTAGTTCAATTCTCGGGCAAAAGGAATGAACGTTTGTCCGGAAGAGAGTATCCCACAAATTCAAGTGCATTTGAAAAGAGAATGACAGTGAACACAGTGTGCTCTGTATGGCAACGCCATCGATTACCCGAAGCCGTACTGTTGCATTCGAACAGAATTAGAAATTGTAGAAAACAAAATTGTTGACAAATTATGCACAGATGCATTACGATTCAGTCGGCATGCCGCCGATGTGACGTTGATTCTGTGAGCTAAAACAAACCAATTTAAATTGGTCAAAAAATAACCGCATCCAAGTTTTCGAGCATGTGATTTTGAAGCGATTTGTTTCACACAGTATGTAAACACACACGAAGAGAGAAATCGTGAAACTTCGATGCGACAAATGTAGAAAGTTGTATACTCGACACGAGGGAAATCACATGAAAATAATCACAGAGAATTTGCTAATATAGATATACGTATAAAATAAAAGAAATAAAAAAAAGTATTATAAACAAAAACACAACTGTAATTAAAGTGTGTGTGAAAAATCTATGTCCTAGGTAGTTCAGTGAAAAATGTTGAAAGTAATTGTGATTTGTTATTATGACTAAGATCGAAACAAAAGAAACAAAAAGAAAACGGCAGATGTTCTACGTGCAAAAGTACCATTTATCGATAAAGTTATCCATTTGCAAAGATATTTATTTAAATTACCTATTGGCCGGGGGCAAACGTATGTTTAGATTAAATTGTAAACGGCACTACGGTACGATACAGTTCAGTTGAGTTCATTAGTTTTTGCGTAAATTTTATCGATTCTTTGTTACCATTTACAGTTAAAATGTCATATATTTCTTCTGATTTCCAATTAATGTCAAAAATAGTTGATTACGTTGATTTTGGAATGTGGATCAAATTTAATGTATGACACAGAAGAATAAGCCACAACTCATTTCAATTCATTCTTGGACGATATAACTTATTTTAATGGTTTTTGTCAAATCATCAATTGGTTCATTGAATCATTTGATTGATTATTCGTTTGAAAGAGGAAAAAAATTTATCCGGAGCCATTTTTTGTTGCTAGCATACCATACTTGAAACCAATCATGATTGGAAGCAAATATTGAAACAATTGACACAAGCGCCAATTTCCAGAGATGTATTGAAAAGCATAAGAGAAAAACGAATAGTGCACATTCAAAACATGCAATAGCACAATGTCGTTGGAAATGGATGATCGGTATATTTAAAGACGATTCCTTGTTGGATGAGAGTGTTCAAATGCATCTATTTGAACAACCTAATGCAGTGCAGCATCATGTGTCGTCACTACCACATCATTATTGAAATAAATTATCTCACACTTTAGACATATGAACACGGCTCTTTTAGTTGAACAGAACTAAAAAAAAAATTCCTATCTGAAAATGTTACAAACGGAAAAGCGAATATGTATACATGCAACGTATAAATAGTAAATGTACTTTCTAAATAAGTTGAAAAGATTGAAATTTGTCAACTAACCACAGTGAGATTGAGTGAGTGTTTGAATAGCTCAGATGTACACACAATTTTGGATTCGTACGTAAATGAGCAATAAATTTATTCATCCAGAACGAATGAAGTTCACTCTTTTCGGAATGGATGATATTATAGTTGTTACGGTTGCAAGAAAACATTGACTGACCAGTGGCAAACCAGGAATAGCGTATCATTCATTCATTTATATTGCCAAAAAATGACATTTGGAGTGAGATGTGCGAACAAAATGTGTAACATATGGAAAGTGCCACAATACATTTCAAATGTAAGTCATTTGACACATAGCAGTCAATGCCATCTCAATTCCAATTAATTCACTTCTAATCATTGTATTTTTCGGCAACTTTTTTCAAACGTGTATGGCTTTACTAGAATATAATCAACTTTACGACGACGCTAACAGCTTCTCTGTGGGCCGTTACTACGTATTGATGTTTTGCAGTGGTTACTCCATGCATTTGCCAAAATACTATGATTTTTGTACTCTCTTCTACGATGTGTGTGTGTGTGCAGAGAAGTTGCTAGTGTCGCCGTAAAGTTGATTATATTCCACTCAAGCCACACACGATTGAAAAAAGTTGCTCGAAATATTCGATGATTCAATGAGTTGGATCATAGATGTCATTGGCTATCTTTTGGTATTCCGGCATAATATTTATGATGTGTAATTGCATCTGGGCAATGAACACTTTTCTCTGTCGACTGATGACGTTTTCGACCAGATTCTATCACAAGCAAACACAACGTGAATGAAAGGCATCAATGTACATACAAAATGAGATGGGAAATGTTTCAAGTGATGGGTACTATTTTTAGAAACAAAATGCCCCAGATTGCTAATGACTTTTTTTCGTGAAAAATCAAAGTTTACATGCGAATTGCATTCCAAAACGGTGAAAGTGCATGCGGCTAAAAACCAAAGGCTACTCAACAAAATCCGTCGCACAGAAAGCAGTTGTGCAGCCGTGCTGTTTGCACATTAGACTTTTTCGCATACACATCGTTCGTTCATCGTGTTTCCTATGTGCCGAACGCTCTATAGTAATTTATTCCATCACTGTAGCCATGCTTCGTATGGAACTCGGCTTTGAGCGTTCGGCGCATACATACACGCATACACGCGTTTGTCTGTGTGCTGATTTCGTTTGTATGAAACACGATGAACGATGATATATATGCGAAAAAGTCCGATGTGCAAACAGCACGGCTGCACAACTACTTTCTGTACGACGGATTTTCTTGAGTATACATATTTATCTGCATCATGAAAACATTTCCCAGGAATGAGAGAAAATCGTCATCGAATTCGAATTTCCGGCAGCTAAATCACGATAATCGGCTACTGAATCATTTGCCTACATTATATTTATATAATAAACATATATTTTATGAAATGACAAAAAAATAATTGCATATTTTAAAGAAAATAATTCCAAATTTATGAAACAAAAATAAAATAAAAACTTATCAGTGTATATATAATTCAAAATAAGAACAAAAACCAAAAAAAAATGGATTAGGAAAATTGCGTCACACGTATTGTGTCATGATAAACTATTTAAACGACTTTGATTTTCACTATGATTAAAATAGCGTTTGATAAGAAAAATCAAAACGAATTTGTGGAAAACTACGTGAAATTCGATTTTGTCTAACCGAAGACGGAGAAAAATTGTCGTTTTAGAGGTGAAAAAAACAAAATCAACCAAACAAACACATATTTTACAGGGATGCCACTTAAAGTGAAAAGAATTAGCAAATCATTGATTTGTCAGACACGAATTAGATAGAGAATGTGACCGATAAAATATTTCAGTTGAATTGTTATAACTGGTAAATTCTTTTATGATGAAAAAAAAACAGAAGATGAGAAAAAAAAACTATTTATCGCATTTGTTTTCGTATTGAAAGTGTTTTGTAAAGTTACAGTTTTAAATTTCCGTTGTAGCCTTCACCCTATTTTAACCATACTATTCGATATATGGGTTGTACAAGATATTGACAACAAAAAAACAAACTATCACAGATCATCAAATATGTAGTATCGAGAAAATGAACATGCGTGTGAATGCAATGGATGCGATTTAGAGCGATCATGCGTTAACAGCAGCATAATGATGAGAAGAAAAACAAATCCGCATAAATATCTATAAATAAAATAGTATGGAGTAAGTTTTCATTGAACAGTGAAAAGAATCACTACAAATGAACGATGGATTTCACAAGCAAAGAGCACACACATATACAAACAAATAAGGCAAATGCTAAAAAAAGCATCATGATTCAAAGAAGAAGAAGGAAACATTCTAGAATAAGTGGATTGATAAGGTACGTTAATGAAATGCAAATAAATAACCAAAAATAAAAACAAAGCCAAATCTAACGAACTCTCATTAAACGAAACTGTATGCATCAATCCAAGAGAAAGGAAGAAAGGAGAAAAACTAATGATAGGCATAATTAGAAGTATATTTATTTGGTATTTTGAATTAGCTAATGGTTGAAACGATTTCAATACGTTTTATTTTCAGGTTCATTACTTGATCCATTCAAAGTTCTTTCAATGACCACCATGTGAATCAATCAAAATAAACTGTTTTTGAGAAAGAAAGAAAAAAACAAAATTCAAGAAAATTCCAAATGATTGGATTTCCTTTCGTTTGGTGGGTGTGTGTAAATAAAAATGGGATTCGAGGCAACAATCACCCACGCAAAAGAAAAATTAATCCAAACGTCACTCACGCTGCTCCATCATATTGCAATTAATTGAATGAATGCCAACCTAATTGAAATATTTCCAGTTCATTTGATCTGCTAAGAGTACGATTTCATTATTGACTTTGTACCACAGACCGAACAAAAATAAATATCGATTTGAAGTGTTGAATGCCAGTCACGCGGTTCTTTAAAGCTTCCCACTTCTATTCAGAAGAGTCTCACATTCGATGCTCAATGTTTTAATGAATGAATCAAATCCAGTAAAGTCAGGTGGAATATTCAACTCTTATACAGAGTTAATGCAGCGAATCCTTCGCAAATTATAAAGTCATTTATTTATCTTTCTATTCACTTTTTCTCTATCACTCCACCCTTCAATAATAAGTAGAAAACTAATTCATTTTTATCAGCATTCATTCCAAATCCGAGTGCAAACTGAAGCATGACCGTGTAGTATCAGTGACTGCATGCGCACAGTAGATAAGAACGAAAAAAAAGAGAAACGTTATGCAGCTAAACGAGTAAACTGAAAAGAAATACAAATCTGAATGGATTTTTTTCTCTCACCGTGAAATTGATTCCAGCTTCCATTTTTCATTCTGCTTCCGATCGTGGGTAACGTAATTTCAATTTGTCGAGATGGAGCAGAGAAGGAAGAGAGCTGGAGACAGAGTCAGGATGGAAAAGAGAGAGAGAGAGAGAGAGAGAGAGAGAGAGAGAGAGAAAAGAGAAACCAATGAAAGTGAATTGTGAAAATGAAAAAGAAAATCGAGAGATAACAATGGATATCGTGGGAAAAAATCGCATCGAGCGAAGGACGTGAATGAAAGATAACCGACATAACAGTATAACATCCATTTATGAAGGAGTAATAATCCAATATCTGCGTTTTTTTGCAACCGATTTTGATTTTATTTGAAACCATTTTCTCACATATTTCTCGCTCGCCAATGCATTCTTCAGTTTCGTCTTGTTCGAATTTGCACTGTACGGGTGCCACACAAATTTCCTATCGCTTCCGTTCGTCTCCGTTTCATTGAACTCCGATCGTTCTCTCTTTCACACGATGCATTCGCCATTGCAATGCAAACCTTTTGCATTTCACTACACACGCACCAAGCAACAGCCACTGCTGAGCGAATATTGCGAACGTGCTTGATGTTGTACCCATCGTGTTTTCAGTGCGCTATAAGTATTTGATGTATGCAGAATAGCGCGCACCAATGAATAATAAAGATATAAAATAAAATCAAATCAAATCAAATCGAAACGAATAACCGCCATGCATCCCATGCTAAACCCAAACGATACAACAAGAAAAATATTTTCTAAAGAAATTCAGTGTTGCAACACTTGCGAATATTTCATGGTAATTGCAAAATAAAGACGTAACGTTGTAAAACTCCTAGCAAATTGGTTGAGCATAATTTCGATGAAATTGTTTTGCATCATGCTGCGCCAAGTGAATGATCTGCAGCATGTAAAAATATCGCGTTATGAATGTAAACAAGGCTCCCCGACGACAATTTTTTTTTCTCCTCTTCACTTTCTCTTTCCGCAATGGCGATGAGAAAACACGACACCAGCTCAAGCGCTTCGATAGAGAAATAAGAATTGCCATTCAATGACTGCAACTGTTTCGATGACGTCCAATCGAGAGAGAAAACAGAGATAATAAATTCCCTTCCAACAATCGACCATCAAAATCAAACAACGTCTATCAGTTGGTAATCACGAACGCCACACTAAATGTACTGCAAACGCTATTACACATTTATGTGACAAGAAAAGGAATCGAGAGCGAGAGCGAGAGAGAACAAAGAAAAAAGGCAACAAGAACAAGAGCAACGGCAAAAAGAAGGAGAGAGAATAAGCGAGTGAGACATAACTTGAATTTATGTGCGTTCTTTGCTCGTGCCACAATTTTTAGTCGGTGTTGCTGGAGTGGATGTGCATCGGATAGTAAATATGAAGCGGCAGTCCCACAGTAACAATCCAGAACGAGCTACACAGTTACAGTTTCAGTTTCACTTCCAATACAAAGTGTAGTGCCAGTTACAATGTATGTTTTTCAATTTTATGCCATACATGTATGCCTTTCAAGTGTGTTCGGTGTGTGTGTGTGTGTGTGTGTGTGTGTGTGTGTGTGTGTGTGTGTG